TGTATCAAACATTGTGCGCTCGGCTATTCATCTATTGGATATCGGCAATAAATATTTAACACACTATACACGACTATACAATAATATATTATATTATTATAAATACACACGCACGTTTAATAAATACGCATAATGCGTGCGTATAGACGAAGGTTGTTTTTAGTTTACCGCAAAGAAACTTAATGTACCGAAAACTTATCCGGTAGTCACAATATATATACATTTCTAATAAATATATATATATATTATATGTATGTATGTACGTTTAATGGATTTCCGCGATTTTTGCATTGTTGCAGAACGAAAAACCCGAGGTGAAACAGAAATGGGCGTCTCGGCTTTTAGGAAAGCTTCGGAAAGACATAACTCAGGAGTGCCGGGAGGATTTCGTGCTGAGCATAACTGGCAAAAAACCGGCCATGTGCGTGCTGTCCAATCCCGACCAGAAGGGCAAAATGCGGCGCATCGATTGTCTCCGGCAAGCCGATAAGGTACCTATATAATTATTATTGTCTTGGTCGCAGCATACAACATTATTATTGATATAATATACACACAGGTAAAATAATATCATTAACAATTAACAATACAATTATGTAAAACAGTCACATTTAAAGCTTGGGTCGATTTGTTACGAATCAAAATCGCAAAAAAGCGTTTTGGAAAAAAAATATACTCCTGCAAATTTTCGAAACGAAAATCGCACAAATATAATACATGATCTTGATGCTTGRAAAAATAAAGATGCTTGATAATAATATTAGGTAATTGATTTAATTCTTTTTTATTAGATAGTATAATAACTCCGTATACAGTTCTAATATAATTATAATGTCACTTTTTAATTATTCTTGAATATTAAAACTTTATACATGACCAATTCTTCATTGACATCGGTGCTGTGTTTTTAGAATAATTTTAACAAAATACCTATTATTATGTAAGCATACCTAAAATATTAATAAAATTGCGATTAACGATAAMATTTAACTAATTATAAGACAATAAATGCACGTCTTAAATACAATTGATCGTAAATTAAGTACAAAATAAAAAGAAACATGGAACTTTTTTTACGAATCAATCTTGAACAGTGAACACTGATATAATATAACCAACTAACCTTTTGATGGAAGATTTTTCTATTGATTTTCATTAACTTGTTTTATTTTAACTATCTTCTAATAATTATTAACATGCAATGCATACAGTACCTGTTTATTTAATTTTTATTCTGTACCAACAAAACGCGTAGGTATATTCAAATTTACGGTTAAAGCATTAGATAATCAAAAACTATACAGTTKTTATTACTTTTACAGTAAACATCATGAGTATGGGTGTACATTTTAGAAATATTATGTTTATTTATTACCATTTAATTGGTTGCGTTATGTAACAATTCCTTTTTGCAATAATACAATATATGTACTTTCTTGCTACCATATTATAAGTTGAATTAATGTTATTGGACAGCTTCACATTTATGTTTCGTGAAAACTGAGATCAATTTACTTTGGTTTCTTCATCATATTCTGGAAAATTTATCTATAAGAGCCCTAAAATAAAACGATAACATAATATTTAGAACTCGGCAGTTTATGAAATATTGAGCATATTACAGTAAATGTAGGTATAGGATAAACGGTGATTTCAGCTTAATGCGATGTGGAACGTGTTTGTTGGACGCAACCTTTAATGTAAGTGAAAAAAAAAACGTAATAATATAATACTCAATATATTTTAATATTAAAACATTGTTGGATTTTGTAGAGAAAAATCAAAAAAACAAATTAATTACTAAATATAAATAAATTTACTATACAACAGGGGTCGCCAAAAGTACATACGAATAAATACATTTTTATTTTATAGAAATAATATAAGTATATAACATAATATTTTTAAATACTTTACACAATAGTTCTTATAATATACTATAATATACTTGGTTATATAATTATGATATTACAGATGATAATTTCCACGTGTGTGCCCTAACGACTTTGGATATTACACTTATTTTTAGGTTATTTACTGTCCTAGTGGGGGGGTGGGGGGGGGAGTGAAAACTAATTCGTGGGCCGTAGTTTGGAGATCCCTGCAGCTTTAAAATATTAAGAAGACGCATGATACCCGCATGTGTTGTCTCCGTCTCACAAATGGCTAACATAGCAATTGTACGAACCGCAGAACACGTGTAGCTCTGTTAGTTTAAAATTTAGAGTGATTTGATCTGCAATAAAATTTAAAGGTAAGGTTATTATCTAGACAATCTCATAGGTTTTTATCATATTTTAACTTTGAAGCGAGTAATGAGTATTTTAAAATTGTAAATACATTTTTAAGTCACTCTAAATTYTAAACTAACAGACACTTATTCTGCTGGCCGTAAAAATTCCTGGGTTACGCACTTGTAAGACGGAGACAACACATGCGGGAATCACGTTCTCTTAAATATTTAATTTCTGATTCGTAGCTATTATAATATTTTAGGTCTAAGATTTATAATATACAATAAAAAATGGTAAAATATGAAAAAAAAAAATGCAAAATCAAAATATATTTTTAATTCTATTATACATTGCATTGTTTTTGTATAAAAATTGATCTTAAATAATATAATTACTTTACCACCAGCTATGAAAATTCTTCAACAAATCATTATATTTATCAACTTCACATTGAACTTTCTTCGAGGTGTTTTTCGAAATTATTTGTATATTTTATACATTTATTCCTTATACTACTAGTCAATAAGAAACTGTTCATGTAGAATATGTGTACCTATACATTTGATTAGCTATAATATAATAATTAAAATAAATGATATACATGAATTTTCATAGGATTATTATAAAACGTTAAACTAAAATAACGTTTTTAAATTGTTTAATGCTGTCATTAAAATTCCTACTGCATTTTATCAATGTCGTAGTGTACACAATTTTATACGTCAGACTCGCCTTAACCTAACCTACCGAATAATAATAATGTAATATTTCTTGCCGGCGCGRATTTACCTTACTTGTTGTTGATTATAAAACTCATTTTAAATGTACACACATATTCTTTTTTTATTTCGAATTTTAAGTGCAGGTGTATCTTATTATTTTCGTTATACTCTAAAAATAAATGAGCTTCCCGTGACACAACCTACAAAAGAATTTTTGAGTAATAACTGTTCAGAATATAAAATTTATTCGGTGGCGCGAATATTAAATTCACAGTTAGTATATGTTTATGATATACAGATTTATTTAAATATTTTCCTCTATTATATCGAGAACAAATCTCAAAAAATTATATTCCACAACTAAAGCAGGTACCTACCGTGAATTGTACATTGTTATTTCTATTTTTCAAGCGATCGTGTGTAATGACAATTGGTTTCGTACGTCTTATTGGTTTATTTTTGTTTTTTGATAACGTTTCGGATGGTCGTCAAAATTATCATTGAACTAATTGATGATTTAATAATGAAAATAACGTTCATGCGCATAAATGCATAATATATAAGGCCGAAATCGCGCAGATTAAAACCGACGGCAGACTATATTGMCTTTCCCACATCACGTCACCTCGTAGGTACATGTTTTATTTTTTTATTTTTCGTTCTTCGTTGTCGACATTTTTTACACATTCAGTTCACGTGCCATGCCTCCGCCGCCGCCAACGTGTTCCGTTCTCACAAAAAYGCACGCGCGACAGCCTAGCGAGCACGTCGTCGTTGTCTCAACCGATACCCACGCGGCCACGCCGTACTTACAGCATGGTGTTCAGTCTGTTTCCTTCCTCCGTGCGCATACTACACGTCCTCAACAGTCATTACACCGGGATTGTGATGATGGAGATAGTGCTTGTTCAATGTGATTGAGGGAAGGAGGGGGCTAGCATTAGGAAAAATAAGTTTGACAAAACAACGATATGATTATTTATATAATACGACCGCGTTAGGTTAGGTAAAGAACGTAATTTCATTTCATCGTAAGCCTCATAAAATTGTACAAATTCGATCTCTGTTGAATCACACTAAGTAAAATCAAATTATTTAAAACAATTTGAACCGATTGCGGTCATAAAATGTAAAGTAAGTTTGGTTTCGGCGAATAAACTGTAACGCCATAGTATATAGATGTATAGAACATAAAACCCCGAGAAGTACAAAAAAAAACCCCGACGGGGAAGAGAAAGTTAAAATTACTACACTCTCGCAAGTGTTATGTATATAGTAACTAAACGACACGAGTATATAACAGATATTTTTTAAAGCTTTTCATCACATCGAAGTTTATTCAGAACTTTTTTGAGACGTATGCATGATTGTWATTATTGTCTTTAATAAAGACTCTTTTATTGAAGTAGGTAACGTTGTTTTTTTTTCCGTCACAAAACCTGTCTTGTCGGTCAGGTAGACGTTGTACACAATAATATTAAATGTAGATTTTGAATTACTTAACGTTCATATCCATATTTTTAATTTTCATATTATTTGAATTCATTATCTTAAACTCTTACACATTTCAATTATTTTTAAATCTTTTAATGAAAATTATTTAGATGGCCAATAAATATAATATACAAACGTACATTTCCTTTATATCGTTGATCGGGTGCATATGTTAATATAAAACATGTGAGATTACTCGTATTTATTAAGTCATTAAAATGCAATAAATATCCGATAACATTCGAAGGAAAATGAAAATTATTTTTCACAAGCTGTTTCATTTAATTTTTAAAATATCAGACCCTATTATATAGGTAGTTGTATTAAACTTGCAATTAATTATGTAGGAATAAAATAATATAATTGTCATAAAAAGATGTCGTCACCTCAGAGTGAACACCGTAATGAATTTTTAGAKTATCAATCAACCATATTATTATAGTACAATTYCCTTTGTACGTCACAGAAAGGTCAGTATAATAAGCAACCCTCCAGCMATTGAATGAGCTTTTGAACAATCTTTTATTTAATATATTAAATTTAGTAAATCAATGAAATTTTAAARCTATTACCATCATTCTGAATTCTGATAAGTTTTAGGGACTTATTGTACTGGTAATTATGGGTGATTTTTTTTACCTTTTTGTCAAATATTATTATGTTTATTATATATATAATATATATAATATCTTTATATTAATTAATAACATATATATTTTATATGTTTAGTTAAATTTCTATATTCACATATATGGTTAACAAATGATCAATATGACAAGATTATTAATTAATTATTATTTATAAATACATTTAAAATAAAATAATTGTATTTGCAATTCCATAAAAAAGTGAAAAATATTGCTCTAACTGAATTTTGGTTTTTTTTTATTAAAATTGCATTCAGTRGTTATGATATATACTCATATTAATTTCACTCAACTCTTTATCTTAAATAGGTTTTAATTTAATTTATCGTATACTTAGATAAATTTTCAACAAACTATACAGTATACTTGTTATACCTAGGTACTGGGAAAATCA